ATTCAAAAATATATATGCACCCCTATGTTTATTACAGCATTATTTACAATAGCCAAGATATGGAAGCAACCTAAATATCCATCCATAGATGAATGGATAAGGAAGATGTGGTGTATACATACACAATGAAATATTACTCAGCCACAAAAAAGAATGAATTTGTGCTCTTTGTAACAACATGGCTGGACCTAGAGGGGATTATGCTAAGTGAGAAAAGTCAGACTGAGAAAGACAAATACCATATGATTTCACTCAAATGTGGAATCTAAAAAAACAAAACAAATGAATAAACAGATAAACAAAGAGCAGAATCAGACCTACAAATATAAACTGATGGTTGCCAGAGGCTGGGGGTGGAAGGATGGACAAAATGGATGAAGGGGAATGGCAGATAAAGGCGTCCAGTTATGGAATGAATCAGTTGCAGGAATAAAAGGCACAGCCTAGGGAATACAGTCAAAGATATCATGATAATGTTGTATGATGGCACATGGGAGTGACACTTCTGATGAGCCCAGACCAATGTATAGAGAAGTTGAATCATTGTGTTGTACACCTAATATAATACTGTGTGTTAACTACACTCAAAATAATTTTAAAAAATTAGAACCACCTCCCCAAAGACAACAAATTAAGGCTTACTATTTAAGAGAATCTCCCTCTAAGAATAAGGAGAAAGAAGCAGTTATAAGAGGCATCAAGTCTGATGGGGAATTCATTCTTGAAAGTTTCTTGTCCTAAGATCTATCATTTCACAGAGTGAGGTTAGCAAGTGGACTAAGAAGTGAATCAACATGGCTCATTTCATGTAATTTTTTTAAAAATACGCTTGGTTCTTTGTGAATCAGTTTGGTTCATTATATTTAAAAAGTAAAATCCTTTTAGTAACTCATCATACTTTATACATTACTTGTGGAGTGAGAGCTAATTTCTCTTCCACTTCCTTTTTCCTCTGGTATCAGTTCATTATACCTAATTAAGATACAAGTCTTGCTATATACCCTTTGATACAGTTATATGAGCTTCTGAGGTTAGTTTGGGCTTAAGAGAAATCTTATGGCTAAATTTTTAAAAAGGAGGGAGGCGGGGAAGTAGGAGTTTTAAACACAGGCCCTAAGGATGAAGGAAAGAAGAAAGCAACATTTATTACAATTTGGTGCTTAACTCAATTGCCCACTTCGCCCTCTCTGAGGGAATTCTGAGGAATGAATACTCAATACTCAGTGTAGCCAGCCCTGCAGTACATCTTTATTTATCTTCATATCCAACACGAACCATTCCCCTGAACCCAGAAATGATTCCCTGTAAGATCTATACATGACAGTCTTTTGCTCCCACTTAAAACTGCATTGAGTTCGTGTTTCAGAGCAACTCAAGGTGAATTTTACACTTATGTCTCATTTAAGGTAATGAGCCAGAAGCACAACTTTGGTGAGGATGGCTTACTTCTGGAAGTCATGAGCTACACAGCTTAACACATACACTCAAAGTATTTTTTATAATGATCTGGGGACATACCAGTGGGAGAGAAGGAAACTGCAAATGGTATCCCTGGCTAGTGACCCTCTTCCATATTCCATCTCAACTGTGTGGAACCAGAGCACAGCGAGGAGCTGGGCAGACACCCCAAAAATGGAAAAGAGGGGAGTCTTGGGGGTTACAGTGAGCCCCAAACTTCACAATTTAAAACCGTGGACGTCTCAGGTTGGCCTCCCTTCGGGATCTCAGTTCTGAGGTGGCATAAAGACCAGAGGTGAAGGTCTGGAAATGTTTGGTTTGGTTTTCTTGATTGGAAATTCTGATTTATTCATAAAAATGTTATAACATTACCTGTAAAAATACAAACTATGCTCATGATTGGCAACACTTAGAAAATTTAATAGTCCCTTAAAATATCGGAGTCTATCTTTTACTGTTGGAGATACAACGTTTTCTCAAGAAATGCTTTAGGAAGTCATAAGGGCCTGATCACAGGTTCCTCTCAAAGGAAGCAACGAATACTTCAGATAATGGTGAAGAGGTGTTTTGTTGTTGTGTGAATATAAATGCCCTTTCTTGATGAAATATAAGATATGGTCTCATTTACAGTAAGCTACATGTTCCTAACTTGGTTTTCTCTTGTTTTAAGGGAATAAACCTTTTAACTTCACTTCTTTTCTTACTATCTTGCACAGTATTATTGTGAAATGGAGGCCCTTGGGTTTTAGGGGGACACCTGCTAATGGTGGGTTACCCGTGTGTATTGATAGCCATAATAATTTAATAATTTTTGTACTCTCTTTCATCTAAAATTTCAAAGGACTTCGTAAATGTTTCAATTTTGTAGCAATCCTCTTAAAAAGGTAAGTAGGAAAAAGTCTAAGCCTTCTTGGATGTAAGCTCCTTGAGGGCACAGTTTTCACTATGTGAACATATCAAGCTTTCTAGGCATGCTATTATTTTTGACACCGCATAAATATCTACCATCCATTTTAAAGGTAAAATGCACAAATGTTCTTCCTATTTCATCTTTATTTTTCCTGTGTCCTCGAACTAATAAAAACTTTCATTCTCACAATTACTTTATATTATTTAGTTCTATATCACCAAGAAAATAGAAATGTAATAAACTAATGAAATCTGCAAGCGTAATAATATACTGCTATTACCAAGACTATTCATATTTTGAAAGAGATGTCATGCCTTAATTTGCTTAGAATAAATGATCTAATTGTGTAAGGTGTTTAGGATAGACTCCACCTGTCATATATTTAAGTGCTCAATTAATTATAATTGTTATGACAGTAAGAGTAATATGGAACTGATTAATAAAGTATAGTTCTAATTTCTGAGTATTGTGTAATCAGTCAGATTCACTGAGGATGCCTTTCGTGGCCAGGAATGTGTTCTGGCAGCTATATATACCATTCCATATCATCTAGAAGAGATGGGAAGATGATTGGTGTTACTTTAAGAGACGACAAGTCTATAGGCAGTAGGAGACAGTCTGTTGCTGTTCCTGTCCTTGCTATAAACTAAAGAAGTAACTCACAGGGAAACCAGGACACAGGAGAATTCAGGCAAAATAGATGATGGGCTTATGTGCTTAAAATCATTATGAGTTAAAAAAATTGATTGGAATTACTAGATTAGGCAGACTCATATAATATTTTAATAGTATTAAGGTACCCTATTTGACCATTTACCTCAGTTTTATCATCTATAAAATGAGGATAATAATAGCACCAACTTCATCCTATTATTGCAAAAATTAAGTGAGTTCATTGATGAATAGGTTTGATGTAACGGTGAGATGTTTTCCCAAATCCAAGGTTGGGACATAATGGCTGGACAAAGGAATTTTTTTCTGCCTATCTATCTATCTCATAAGGAATACTGGATATTTGAAATAATTGTATGGATGCTATGCTATGTTCATTGTTATGCATTTCTAGCAAAATACTCATTTTCCAATGGATATGTTACTCTATAGCCATCACCTTAATTCAATTGAAAACATATAAGAACTGCAACAAAGATTTAAAACACTAGTACAAGAAAATGAGGAGGATCAAGAAGCTGGGAAATATGGTATCTGTTTTTGTTTATTAGTTTTTTGTTTTTGTTTTTGGTTGTTTTTCAAGCCATGAGCAATCTTTGCTTAGTATTACCTGATTATCTTGGATTACACATTATCAAGACCTTCCACACAAGCCTCTATCTTGCTGACTGCTTTTGAGTCATCTCACCAATAACCGAGGCTGCCAACATATGAGTTAGCCAGAGAAAATGGAGGGAGTTAGAACAAATCCTTTTGTTCTTTGCTAGTGAGTATTGTTCAAGATTGGAATGGACAAGGGTAAAATTTTGGTGAAAGTCAAATTTAAGGATGATTTTTATTTATCCAAGCTACTGTTTTATTCTATTTTAATAATTAACCAAAAGCTTATCAGACATAGCTTAGTGATTTAAATAAGTCTAAATACTATACTTAAAACAATAGTTTAAAAATGTTCATGTCATGATTTGGACAATTTCTCACTTTGAGATGAAGTGCATTACTTATATTCTCTGTACTAGTTTTCTAATCTATAAAATGAGGAAAATCATATCAACTTCATTTCTTACCAGAATATTATATATTAAAGAGTTTGTGAAAGGCATTGATGATAGATCATCCCACAAGAACAAATTTTCCTTTTTTTTTTTAAATTTTATTATGTTATGTTAGTCACCATACAATACATCATTAGTTTTTGATGTAGTGTTCCACGATTCATTGTTTGCGTATAACACCCAGTGCTCCATGCAGTCTGTGCCCTCCTTAATACCCATCACCGGGCTAACCCATCCCCCCTCCCCCCCTCCCCTCTAGAACCCTCAGTTTCTTTCCCAGAGTCCATCGTCTCTCATGGTTCGTCTCTCCCTCCGATTCCCCCCCTTCATTTTTCCCTTCCTTCTCCTAATGTCCTCCATGCTGTTCCTTATGTTCCACAAATAAGTGAAACCATATGATAATTGACTTTCTCTGCTTGACTTATTTCATTACAATGTTGCAATTTTGTTACAAATGCAATGTGAGTGATTGTTGTGCTAACTTTAAATTAGTTAATATGTATATTTCTCCCAGGCACTGTAAGAGCTTTGTGCTGTGATGTAAATTCTTAATAGTTTACTTACTTAACTTTTCATTTCTAGTTTAGGAATTACAGTGTGATTCTTACTTTTTCATCACATTTGCCTCATTACAAAGCACCCAATTCTATGTTATGCTGATGATCCAAGAATAATTCTGACAGACTCAGAAGCATTGTTCCTGACTTACTGACAGTTAATAAAATCAAAACCTTTTTATCATCAAGTGTTCCACATATAAATGTATTATCCCTGTCTATACACCTATAAAAAGCCTATAAGCCTCTGTAATATGCAACAAGAGACTGTCAGTAAGGTGACGGAACAACAGGAAGGCCACGTGACATTAACATACTTAATATATCGAAAATGAGAAGCCTTCTTACCTAGCATGCAAACACATTTGACATTCTGATCAGGGTTTTCAAACAAGATTTCGCCACACCTCTGAAAGAGAAAGAAAGCCATAATTATTTTAAGATTTTATATCAGTGATCCCAAGGCAATGTGTCTTTGCAACCGGACATCACCATAACTTCATTCTACTTTTCATATTTTGCTTGGTTAATTGAGTCGATGGATTTGTATCAGGAACAGAGATTTTCCTGGTAGTAAAATATTCGGGAGGTAAGTTGGGATAGGTTGTTCCTTCATGCCTCGTGACTCTGCCTGAGGCTGATTTTGTGTGCTTTTCTGAGGAGTTGTGGCCAGAGATGCATTTGGTGTCTAATGTTTTCTATTTCAGTGGAAGACATGCAATCTTTAGATCTAATAATCTGAGGTTAATCACTCTCAAAATTGGTCCTTATTCAGACTGAAATTATTCTAAACTACCCACTCTGCAATCAAACACAGATACTGTAAGCACAGAACTAGGTGGCCTATACTGAACTCTCTGAACCTGAAGGAAACAAATAAGGAAATGATGAAACAGTGGCCCTAGTAATGCTCTTCCTGAACTCACAGACTCATGGAAATAGCACCTTTCTTATCTATATCTTAGTTTTAACTTGCTTGTTAAAAGTTTTGTGCAAGGTAAACTCTGGAGATAACAATCAGGTATTAAGAATGGACTACATTTGGGCACCTGGGTGGCTCAGTTGTTTAAGCAACTGCCTTCGGCTCAGGTCATGATCCTGGAGTCCCGGGATGGAGTCCCACATCGGGCTCCCTGCTCAGCAGGGTGTCTGCTTCTCCCTCTGACCCTCCTCCCTCTCATGCTCTCTGTCTCTCATTCTCTCTCTCGCAAATAAATAAAATCTTAAAAAAAAAAAGAATGGACTACATTTCTGTATATGACTGACAAATGGTTAGTACCTGAATATATAAATAAATCCTCCAAAATCGATAAGAAAATAGTAAATAATCCAATAGAAAAACGGATAAAGGAACAAGCAATGCATGGAAGGGGGGATCTGAATGGTCAATAAACACAGAGAATAAATTCAACCACACTAATAACCAAGAACCAGCAAATTAAAGATAAAATGAGATCTATTTTGAATTCCTATGTGTGGCAAAACTTAGGAGTCTGGTAAGAACAACTGTTATCAAGAATGTATGGAAAAGGGTACTCTCACACACTAGTGGTTGGAACATAAAATGAGAGAACCACGTGAGAGAAAAATTCACAAAATCTAGTAAAGTTGAAATGTGCATATCCTATGACATAGCAAGTCATCTTCTAGACTGATGACTGGAGAAATTTACTTAAACAACTTTAACATCCAGCTACAAAACAGATAAATATATTATTCATATATTGAAATACTACATAGTAGTTAAAATAAATGAATTAGGGTTACGCATACTTTAAAAACATAAATTATATATGCATCACATGCACATGTAAATTATACATATATGCATAACATATACATGTAAATTATATAATTGTAATGTTCCAATCATGCGAAATATATAGCATTCAAATCATGCAAATACATAAAATTTTCAAATCGTATAAACCATATAAAAACAGTCTCCATTTTATATGAAGTTGAAGATGTCTAAAAATAGTACATATTGGGTGCCTGGGTGGCTCAGTTGGTTAAGCGACTGCCTTCGGCTCAGGTCATGATCCTGGGGTCCCGGGATCGAGTCCCGCATCAGGCTCCCTGCTCAGCAGGGAGTCTGCTTCTCCCTCTGACCTTCCTCCATCTCATGCTCTCTCTCTACCATTCTCTCTCTCTCTCAATAAATAAATAAAAATCTTTAAAAAAAATAGTACATATTGTTTGTAGATATATTAATTTACAGAAAAAGCATAAAAATAGGCAATAAATAATGAAATCAAATTCAGGGTAAGCAGACAATACATAGAGGATATACGTCATCACTCATGAAATCCTGTGGTACAAAAAAGGGCAGGTTGAGAGGGGAAAGGGCAACTTGATCACATACGTTCAAACTAGTCCATTTTCTGGGGTGACCTACATCATGCACAGAGAGATGGACATTTGGCTCAGGGCCATGAAAAGGAAGCAAGCTGCTCTGGTGAATCAAGAGAATGGAGTGCAGAGCAGGGAGGTTGGTTGTGTCTGAAGGTTGCAAGAGGGCAGTGAATATTAGATGGAGAGTCTGTATCATAAGGTTTTTTTTTTTTTCCTGGCTACTTGGCTGACCTAAATATCATGTGATATTTATCATGCTATTTAATCTCTTCATGCTTCATTTCTTTGGAAGTAACATGGGGATGCTGATACATGCCACAAAGTCAGATCGGAGAGCAAACGTGAGGATTAACAACCCGTGGAGTCTGGTGCAACTGTCTGTTCCTGTTTTGTCTGTGTTTTGGCAAAGGTTAAACCCATCCCAATTGCTAGGATCCATTTCCGCGTTACCTGCGTTTTAAAGTGGTATTTTTATGACCTGAAAGTTTTAATAATTATTTTTAAAGGAAAGATCAGAGGTTTCTAAAATGTTCTCAACTTCTTGGCAAAAACCAAAGTGCTAAGGAACTCTATCAATCCATATTCTGGGTCCTATAAGGACACAACTCTGGAGTGTTCCTTCATCCTTTGTTAATGGCAAAGCCCACGCATGTGCTGGGATAGGAGAGCTTTCATTCTTCCATTACAGGCGCCGGAAGCAGATGGTTGGTGGAGGTTGCATGGCTTCCCATGGCTATCCAAACCCAAGGCAACCTTATAGATGCCCCTAAAGAGGCAGATGGATGTGGGTACGGGTGTGAGGTGGTGCCATGGGGGTCTTGCTCTCTTTCCTGGACATAAACAAATCCAGAACAAGTTTCTGTAACTCCTGAAACATGCATTCCTTAACAGTGATGGTCTGCCCGGGCTCCTTGACCACACAAGCCAGTGACTGAGCAGCAGGGGCAGGTATGCCGGCTCTTCGGATGACCACGAAGACAGTCCTTGTCCTTGTCCCTGGCCATCTGGGAAGGGGCTGAGGCACCTCCAGCTAGTTCTTTAATTGCTCTGCTTTGTAAAGTTACCTAATGATGGTAACGGATTTTCAAGCAATGCCCAGAAGGGAATCTGATTGTTCTCAGGACTTGAAAGAAACCAGATTCTTCCCAGTGCTTTTTCTCATTGATGCCAGTGTTTATAGGGCCTTGGCTGCCAGACTCATGCTTGTTGTGCAACCTAGGGCGATGACCCAGTTTAAGAGATTAATTGGGCTAAGCCACAGGGTCCGAGTCTCAGAAAACTGCAGGATCTTCCATGGGGGGAAGATCTCATGCCCTGTTGAGTTCTCAGGTGCTGCAGCTGTCTCCTCATGGCTCTATCTGGTCATGCATGCTGGGACTTCCCATCTAAGCTCCCTGCTGCTACATGATCCTGGCTTTGACCTGGTTCTGATTGCCAGGCTTCTGCCTACTTTTCAAGACGCTATCTCTCCACAGGATCTCCATCTTTGTTTCGTTTTTGTGCCTGATATACTAATACCAACTCTCCTTGTTCTGTCCATCTCTTCCAGCCAACACTACCCCGAATAATAAGGCATAAATATCAAAATCTCCATCCAAGGGTCTGGAGCCCTGCTAGCAACAGAAATCCTCCCGGCATATGTTCTTCTGCAGCACAGAGGATATCTGCACATGAACTCTTGTGTGCAATGCTTATTGCCCTCAGGGACACGAAGAATCAAAGCACTTTCATTGTTAGTGCTCCTAATGTGCCTCCTTATTGTAATCCTGATGCCTTGGGGCTCCTGGGTGGCTCAGTCGGTTAAGTGTCTGCCTTGGGCTCAGGTCATGATCTCAAGGTCCTGGCTCTTTGCTCAGTGGGGGGTCTGTTTCTCCCTCTCCCTCTCCCTCTGTGCACACATGCTCTCTCTCTCTCAAATAAATAAATAAAATCCTTTAAAAAAAAAAATCCTGATGCCTTATACTTACCAGTCCCTTAAAAAAGATTTGTGGACTAGCAGACACTGATTTAGTCCATACTCTGGGCTAAGTAAGCATTGTTCTAAGTGCTGTACATCTATCATCTTATCCTTTCATTATACTCTTTTAAGAGAGTAGAAAATCAAGGCCAAGAGAGTTCCACTCACTACAGAGTACTCCCCTCCTGTGAGTGAGAGAATGAAAGCTGACAGCTTTCCTGATGTTTGACTAGTATACACAGATTCTTAAATACTGGCTATTGTTGGTCTCCTCACTGCCTTGGTCTAGTAGACTATGTCCATTTACATCCCTTCCCTTCACTCATTAGCCACTCGTTGTTTGCCTGAGTTTTAGCCTCTCAGAGCACAGGCTTTGCACCAGATTGATCTAAGTTCAAATCCTGTTGCTGCCTTCACTTACCGACTATACTATCGTGGACAATTTATTTAGTTTTTGTCAAACTTGCTTTCTCACTTGTAAAAAAGGCAATCTTGTCTACATCTTATTTTCATTATGTTTAGTTTTAATTCATTGTGAACAAGAATGTACTAATTTAAATTACTGCAGATGAGATTGTAATACAAAAATACAAATTAGTAAATCTAACTTATTCATTAAATTATATTTTAATTCTCATATTATGAGGATTAAAAAATGAATATTTCTAATTTAAGAAGTCAGAATATTTCACAATTTTGCTGCTAATTCCTAGATATTAAAAATTTTCTATGTTAAATATAAAATTTGCCTTTCAGTAAGGAAGAAAAAGATGGATGATCTATATAATATATATAATATAAATATATAAAATACTACATCTTAGTATTTTTAATTAAAAATATTTAATTTCCATTAGTTAAATCATGTTTCTGCAAAATGTGCAAAAAATATAGTTCCCTTAAGTGAACTATTTTTTCATTACTTTCATAATAAAATTAGTTATGAAAAATTGATATTAGGTGTAATTTTTACAAATCACACTAAAGTATTCAGCAAACCTCTTTTTCTTAAGGGAAATTTATAGCTGAAATGGAAATATTTAAATATTAATAACAGCAACTATTATACTCAAAAGAAATAAAAAACGCTTGAAAAA